TTTAGCTGTCACAGGCTGGAGAGGGGTGCTGTGATGTGTTTTGGGCTCTGCGTGATGTTTTGTTGCAGGGGAGATTCCCTTAACCCTCCGTGTGTCTTGGAGAAGCAACTAACCTTCCTGGAAGTGGAGGGGGAGGAGAGAGGAAATCTTCTTCTCATAATGAAGACTGAAACAAAACAGGCCTGCTCGTCAGCTGACGCTAGGGAGGTCGGGTTGGCACCTGCCGAAGTGCTTCTGGGAACATCCCGTGATGCACACAGCTCTGGCTTGGGGATGGTGCAGAAGAAAGGCTGTTTCATGCCAGCCTATGGTGCAATGGTCCAGATACTGTGCTCTAAGAAGTGCACTGATAGAGCAAAGAGCACTTCCTTGTTATGTTTCCCTCCAGGTCACAAAGTTGAGGGTGTTGATGAGGGCAGTGAACTAGAATATTGCTATTACAGTATCTGTTACAGCAACTGAGGTCTTATGTAAGACTCTGGTTTATGGATCAGTCTCTAAGAAGTTGTTCTCCGAAAAAAGAAAAATCGGTGCAGTTCCATTAAGGAGGAATTTGGAAGTTTCATTTTCTGTTAGGGCAACTTGTCTCAAGATGCAGTCATGTTTTTTTGTTTGCTGTTAGGGTTTTTTGTTAGTTATCCGGACTGTACTAAAGGCTTGGCTTTCCTGAAAAGGAATGGGGGTGGGGATCATGCATATTTAAAAAAAAAAAAAAAAAAGAGGAGGGGAGGATGACAGTGGTTTGAGCTTTGTAATGGCTGTAATGAAGTCACCTGGCTATAGATTTACTGCGTGCATGTTGGCCACCAAGCTAAACTGTCAGTGCATCAAGCTAAGCAGGGTTGCTTTATTTATACACTTGCTTTATTGTGGCTTAGAGTCATGCACAAATACTGGCAGCCAGTGTAGTGCTGGCCCGAACAAAGGACAAAGCTCATCTTGGGAAGAAGGCTGTTGCTAGAGGAGACCACATGACTTGAGTTTTGCTGAGTACTTCTAACCCTGGAGGGATGGTGCACTATGGCTGTGACAGTGAGACAGCTTTTATCTTTCTCAGACATAGAGTGGGTGGGTGCCTCTACCTGTGCCTGGAGGGGTTTGGCCCAGGTGCTGTGAACCAGCTGAGAGGTGCTTCTGGGTGTGACTCTCCTTGTGGCCTAGCCGGCCTAAACTGGGTCATGTGAGCTGTGCTTTGACTAGCCCATCTCCTGCCCCTTTGGTTGCACAGGCAACATGGGGGAAAGGAGTGGAGAGAAATTCCTAGTTAACTGGGGCTTGTGCTCTTAGATCTTTGGGCAATGTGTGGAAGAGTCTACTGGTGGGCCTCTGCAGCTAGGGCTGCTGTGAACTGCAAAGGGTCCCCTGTTGCTCTTCAGGAGTACAGGTACATCTCCCTTGGCTGCTTCAGCAGTATGGGAGAAGGTTACGTGACCCTCAGACGTGCTCTTCTCTCTGGTTTAACATGGTTTGAGTGTTTGTGGGCCTGTCCCTGGGAAAGCAGGCAGGGAGCTGCCTCTAGCTTCAATCTCCCAGGGATAGTGAGGGACCTGGGTGATAAGTCAGCTCCTTACCTCCTTCCCTCTGTTTGTATGATTGCAAACAGCAGCAGGAAATGCAGAGGACCTGTGTGTAGGTGGTGCAGCATGAGCAGCCACCATCTCAGTGCAGGTGCTCTCCTCCCTCATGTGCTGGAGCTGTTCTTAATGGCTTGCATTGGAGCGCATTCGGCCTCTGTGCTGCCTCTGAGGCTCTTCTCCCTGGCTGACAACTTGAGGCCTGTGCTCATATGGCCCAAGTTCCTCTTAGTGAGCATCTAGCTGCTAGAAGGCTAGTTGTGTGGGTCCTGCTCTGGGCCAGGTGTGAGCTTGCTTGTGGGTAGCTACTTCTTGGAGGTAATTTCTCATTTTCTTTTTGAGAGACTGCACTAAGATGCTTTGGATCCTAAAGCCCTTGGTGGGGTACTTCCTCTCAGGTCCAGCCCAAGAGGAGATGGAACAGGTCTTGAGGGCTGACTGCAAGCCCCAAATGTCTCCCTGGGACCTGATGGGGTTGCTGAGATGAAGTTGCTGTGTCTGAAGAAGTCAAACAGCTAAGTTTGTTTTTTTTTTTTTTAACCTGCTCAGCTGCCTTTTCACAAGCTAAGAGGTTGTGATGGGGTTTGGCCTGTGAAGACAACCTCTGCTAGAGTCATCCTCAAACTGTGAGGCCTTGGGCCTTGCGTGTGCTCTGTGTGTGTGTGGCCAGGCTAGATTTGCTGTCTTTTGAGCTTCGGCATCTTGTGTGCATAGGTTGGTTGTCCTGGTGTGTGAGCAAGTGCTGCAGCAGTTGATTCCTGAATACACTTGGCTACCTGGAGGGAAGCAGGGCTGGAAGGCTGAGCCTGTGCCTGAAGAAGGTGCCATGTCCTGTGCTTGGTAGGACATACAATGGAGCCAGTGGGGTAGTGGACAAGGGGATTTAGTGATAGGGAACTGCTGCTTGAATCGCGAGCTTTAGCTGCCCATGTTGTATGTCTCTACTCAGGCTTGGTTTTGGTGCTGCTCTTTGGGCTCCTTTGGTATTTGAATTTGCTATGAAGCTTTGAGACGGAAAGACATGAGGTGCCAACTGCCTGCAGAGCAACAGCATGTGCAGAAGAGATAGTGACGATGGGGAAATACTTCACGTGGCAGCTTTA